AGGCTTGGTCCTCTCTGCTGCCCTCTGAACGTTTGCCACTGGCCAAGATGGTAGTTTCTCTTGTTTAGCTCAGGATGGATGTTAGTTTCAGGAGTAACTGGATGGTTTGTTTCCTGAATCATCTTCTTGTGAGCCCATACTCTGTAAAGGGAAAGTGAAGCTACGTATTTATGTTTGCCTTTATCTAGGGTTCTCCAGCAGCCCAGTAAGCACACCAGCTACCCGGTCCCTCCCAGAACAAAGCCACCCTGTGAACAAGGGTCAGCAATTCAGGAACCACCCTAAGCATCCCTAAGTGTACTTCCAGGCCGTCGCTTGAAAATGCCCTCACTAGGATTTCTCCATGATTGTATGGTAAAGGTTTTCAAGAAATATTTAATAACCTGAAACTTAGATCCTGTGCCTGATGTGACAACATCCCTCCTTCTCCACCCAGTCTACTTTTTTTTTTTTTTGAGACGGAATTTTGATCTTGTTGCCCAGGCTGCAGTGCAATGGAGTGATCTTGGCTCACTGCAACCTCCGCCTCCTGGGATCAAGCGATTCTCCTGCCTCAGCCTCCCAAATAGCTGGGATTACAGGCAGTGCGCCACCATGCCCAGCTAATTTTGTATTTTTAGTGGAGACGGGGTTTCTCCATGTTGGTCAGGCTGGTCTTGAACTCCTGACCCCAAGTAATCCAACTGCCTTGGCCTCCCAAAGTGCTGGGATTATAGGCGTGAGCCACCATGCCCGGCCCAGTCTACTTCTTATAAGGGGAACTGTAATCACCTTTTGCACAAACTGGGGGTTCACTGTAATCTCCTGGTCCATGGCCTTCAGCCGCTCATCCAGCTCTATGCACTTCAGCATCTGCATGACAGGCACATTAGAAGGTGGTCAGCAGCAGATTCAGGTCAACTGTATCCTTTCTAACTTACTGTTAGACTGTTAACATGGCTGTTAATGAGTGCTGTAGGTTCACAATCTCTTGTTCTGAAACCATACCTAATACCCCACCCAACAGGACCCAGGCAAACCTCATAATCAAACACATAGTATGTTTTGCAGTGAAACTGGAGTATATTCACACTGAGATAAAAGACCAGACACCATTTCAGGTGACATTTTGCCATCAAATTAGTTACAAAAAAACAGTTTTCTGGGATTTAATATTCAGTTCACCTCCCTGCTCAGAAGTTAGAAACACAGACCACCCAAAAAATGCCCCCTTCAGCCCCAGAATCAGGGCAGCATGCCCTCAGGAGATGCAGAGGTGGCTGCTGCTGCTGTGGCCCATGCTGTTGCCTGAAGGGGACCTTCGGGACAGCGCTCTGCTCTTCTCCTCCAGCCACCCCAACTCTGCTTCTGACTGACAGGGAGAGATGTTTCCTGACCTCCCAACCTGGAACTCAATAGACATTTCAGCAAAACCACAAGGCCCTGTGTTGTAAGTGGCAGCTGGGAATCAAGTTATACTATGCCCTTCAAGTGTTTTCAGAGTTAAGGGAGGTTTTGATGAGCTAGCTGGGATGTCCAATCCACTATTTATTTATACCCATACAATCACAAAGTTTTTTTAATTTTTTTGAGACAGAGTCTCCCTCTGTTTCCCAGGCTGGAGTGCAGTGGCGCAATCTCAGGTAACTGCAACCTCTGCCTCCCAGGATCTTCTAAGTGATTTTCCTGCCTCAGCCTCCAGAGTAGCTGGGATTACAGGTACACACAACACCATGCCCAGCTAATTTTTTTTTTTTTCTTTTTTTAAGTAGAGATGGGTTTCACCATGTCGGCCAGGCTGGTCACCAACTCCTGACCTCAGGAGATCCACCCACTTGAGTCTCCCAAAGTGCTGGGATTACAGGTGCGAGCTACTGCGTCCAGCCTGTAAGAGTTTTAAGCAGCCCATTCTGGGTTTTTGTTGTTGTTTTTCTTGAGACAGAGTCTTGCTGTTGCCCAAGGTGGAGAGCTGTGGCACGATTGCAGCTCACTGTAACCCCTGCCTCCAGGGTTCAAGCAATTCTCCTAAGCAGCCCATTTTGAAATTAACTTTCTAGTAACTAAGATGTACATAGACTGGGAACTACCAGTACTTAAAACTAAAATTACCTGGAACACAGGAGCAGTATTTCAAATACATTTCAACTGTCAATTAAAAAAATAAAAATATGGCATTCATGTTTACCTCCTGATCAATGTTATGAAGCATGGCTGGGTTATTATATTTTTCAGGGTTATCGTGGAAACTGACCATACCGTCCTTCTGGTTAATACTTGCAAAAATCTCACCATCTTCTATCTACAAAAAAAAAAAAAAAAAAAAAAAAAAAAATCAGGAAAGCAGTTTAGACCCGAATGCTATATGAATACAGAGATAGAGTCATCCAGTATAATCAGGGAAAAGCACAGAAGGCAACATGGATATAAACAAACTTGTATATTTTTAAGCACCATTTGTTTATCCAACAGCCTACTATCTGCTAGGCACCATTATAGATGCTAAGAGGTATGAAACTGATGCACACACACACAAAATCCCTACCCTTGCATTTTTGTTGTTGAGTTGAAGTCCACACAACATAATTAACCATTTTATTTTATTTATTTATTTGAGACGGCGTCTCGCTCTGACTCCCAGGCCGAAGTGCAGTGGTGCGTTCTCAGCTCACTGCAACCTCTGCCTCCTGGGTTCAAGCAATTCTCCTGCCTCAGCCTCCCAAGTAATTGAGATTACAGGTGCCTGCCACCACGCCCAGCTAATTTTTTTGTATTTTTAATAGACACAGGGTTTTAGCGTGGTGGCCAGGCTGGTTTCGAACTCCTAACCTCAAGTGATCCACTTGCCTCAGCCTCCCAAAGAGCTAGGATTACAGACATGAGCCACCACACCTAGCCTGCCATTTTAAAGTGAGCCAATTCATTGGCACTTAATGCATTCTACAATGTTGTGCACCTACCATCTCTATCTAGTTCTGGAGCATTTTCACTACCCTAGAAAGAGGACCCAGACCCATTAGCAGTCCCTCCCCATTCCCTTGTCCTCCCAGCCCCTGGAAACCATCAATCTGTTCTTGTCTCTTATGGATTTGCCTTTTCTGGATATATGAATGGAGTCCTACACTATGCAGTCTTTTGTGGTCTGGCTTCCCTCAGCATGATATGTTTGAGGTGCCCTTGTATTTTTCAACACCAACTGCATTGAGATATAATTTACATTCCCTTTTTTTTTTTTTGAGATGGTGTCTCGCTCTGTTACCCACGCTGGAGCGCAGTGGCTTGATCTCTGCTCACTGCTACCTCTACCTTCTGGGTTCAGGGGATTCTCTTATCTCGGCCTCCCAAGTAGGTGGAACTATAGGTGTATGCCACCTCGCATGGCTAATTTTTTGTATTTTTGTAGAGATGGGGTTTCGCCATGTTGGCCAGGCTGGGCCACTGTATTTTAAAAAGTAAAGCCTAACACATTTTCATTTCATCCCAGTGGAAACTATCTTCTGATTCTTCAAGAAAACTTTACCACTGCTGATTCCAAGATAGATTCAAGGTCTATATATTATTTATTTGCATCAGGGGATTTATTTGACTGGGGATTTATTTGACTCATCCTCAAAGCCAAATCCTGCCCATGAAGTTAAAAAGTGAGATACTGATAAAAGTCCCAAACAGATATTTTATTCCTAACAAGATGCTCCCATGTGTGATAATGACTTGTCCATTTGTTAGAAATGAAACTGCTGGCCCACTCCTCTCTAGCTTTGGAAGGGATAGATGCTATTTAGTGAAACAGCAACCAGCCCCAATACATACCACACAAAATGCATAGTTCTCTATGTGATCACAGAGAGCTGCCTCTTTAAGAAGCAGATGGAATATACCTAAGCAAAATTTGGACCTACCGTCACCACAGCAGCACTATTCAAAATTAATCAACCAGAACTGGAAACAACCCCAGTGTCCAACTATTCAAAATGGAAAGGTAGCCTTTCTGGAACACTGTAGCCCTGAAAACGAATGAACTGTGGCTACGTAGAGCATCACGCATGACTCTCACCACGCTGAGCCAAAAACCAGATCCCCAGAAAGTATGCACTGTGTGTTTCCTTCTATATAAAGCTCGGGAACAAACACAACTAAAATAGGATGTTAGAAGTCAGGATGGGAACGACCTTTCTAGAGAGGCACAGGGCTGGGAGCAGACACGAGGGATATTTTCCAGGTGCCAGTCATACTCTGTTCCTTCATCTAGGTGTTGGAAACTTTGTGAAAATGTGTTTAGCTGTACACTTAAGTGTACTTTTCCAATGTTTACTTAAAAAAAAAACAAACCCTGACCTCACAAACCTTTCATTCTAGGGGAAGGGTTTCTCAAGTCTGGCAGCACTGACATTTGGGGCCAGATAATGCTTTGGTGTGTGGGCTGCCCTGGGTACTGTGGTATGTTTAGCAGCGGCCATGGCCTGTACCCATTAGACACCAGTAGCACCCCCATCTGTGAAAACCAAAACTATCTCCCAACATTGCCTAATGTCTCCTGGCAGACGAAATCACCCTCAGGGGAGAACCACTGCTCCAGAGCCTGTCAGGGTATCTGGGCTGGTTAAGCAGGGTTCAAAACTCACACCCACTTTGACCCCTCCATGCACTGCTGCCTTGCATGTCCTGTCTGGTATCATAATGACTCATGTATTTCTTCTCACTCACCACTGAAGAGTGAATTTCTTGGGGAAAGTCTGTAGGTTACTCATTCTGTGTAACCCCTGTGGGGTTAGTAAGATGCTCTTAGCAGATACAAGTCATAGAGCTATGGTTTTGTTTGGTGTGTGCATGTTTTGAGTGGTAAGTTGAGGCAAAAAACCCTTTAGAACATTTGTAAATTGAACTATCAAAATGAAATAGCTAAGTGCAGTGGCTGTAGTCCCAGCTGTAATCCCAGCACACCTGTAATCTCAGCACTTTGGGAAGCCAAGGTGGGAAGGTCACTTGAGGCCAGAAGTCTCAAGTTCTGACTGGGCAACATGAGACCCTGTCTCTACAAAAAATTTAAAAATTAGCCGGGTGTGGTGGCACACACCTGTAGTTCCAGCTACTTGGGAGGCTGAGGTGAGAGGATCATTTAAGCCCAGGCAGTCCAGGCTGCAGTGAGCCATGATTACGGCACTGCACTCCAGCCTAGGCCACACAGCAAGACCCTGTCACAATCAATCAATCAAAATACAGTACACTGTTATCACAAGGGAAACTAGTTTTATTACTCCTAATTCTGAAATCATATGAAGCTTTGCCTGTCCTGAGCTAAGGATATAGGTTTGTTTTCAGTGAACTAAAACCAGATCAGAATTATGTACTTATGTAGCTGAATAGGTAGGTAGATTACAATACATCAATGTGGTAGGTGATCATATAGTCATTTAAATGAGGCTTATCCAGATCAGGAGTGGATGCCTGATTAGAGTGGGGCTGCGAGTTGGGAAATGCAGCTGGGGGGTGATAAGAGGGTGTGTCAGTGCACCGGTGCGGTTTCATTTCTGAAGCTGGGTGCTAACTACGTGCTTGTGTGCTCTGGCCTCCTTTGTGTCACTGCTGCTCACAGCATAATAATCATCATGGACAGGCCGGGTGCAGTGGCTCAAGCCTGGAATCCCAGCACTTGGGAGGCCAAGGCGGGCAGACCACAAGGTCAGGAATTCGAGACCAGCCTGACCAACATAGAGAAACCCCGTCTCTACTAAAAATACAAAAATTAGCCGGGTATGGCGGTGCACGCCTGTAATCCCAGCTACTCAGGAGGCTGAGGCAGAAGAATTGCTTGAACCCAGGTGGCGGAGGTTGCAGTGAGCCTAGATTGCCCCACTGCACTCCAGCCTGGGTGACACAGCGAGACTCTGTCTCAAAAATAAATAAATAAAATAAATAAATCATCATCATGGACCAAAACCCTCAGTGAGGGAAGAGACTGAGTCAGAACGTCAGTCAGTGATGTCACTAAGCACACTGTGTAGTTCACCCAACAGTGTTGAGCAAGGTTTCTTGCTACGGCAATTGCTTTACATACATACTGGCAAAAGCTTGTGATCTCATCACAGGTAAGCAGAGAAAGTAGCCCTACATTAAAACTCTTTGTATACCCAAAGTATTTCATGAGTGTTATGAGGTTTACAAAAATTCTGATAATGAAAATATAGGCACCTGTAATCCCTGGTACTCGGGAGGCTGAGACAGGAGAATCGCTTGAACCCAGGAGGCAGAGCTTGCAGTGAGCCGAGATCACACCACTGCACTCCAGCCTGGGCAAGACTGAGATTCTGTCTCAAAATAATAATAATAATAATAATAATAATAATAATAAGTACAAAGCTGGGTTCAGTGGCTCACACATGTAATCCCAACAATTTAAGGCCCAGGAGGGCAGATTGAGCCTAGGAGTTCAAGCCCAGCCTGGGCAACATGAAGAAACCCCATCTCTACCAAAAAATACAAAAATTAGTCCAGCATGGTGGCAGACGCCTGTAATCCCAGCTACTTGGGAGGCTGAGGTGTGAGGATCATTTAAACCCAGGGGATTGAGGCTGCAATGAGCTGAGATTGTGCCACTGCACTCCAACCTGAGCAACAAAATGAGATCATCTCAAAAAAAAAAAAAGAGAGAACAAATAGGACACAAGCCTGGTGTGTGTATCATACAAACACACCAAAAGTAGAAAATCACATGGACTATAAGGAAATAGACCAAACTATCAATACTGGTTGACTCTGGAGGTTCCCCTGCCTTTCTCATTTTTAATATTTTCCACAATGAACATCTGTTACTCTTACAGAAACAAAAATCCAGTAATTAATTTTCTAAAAAATGAAAATCCAGGCCAGGCACAGTGGCTTATGCCTGTAATCCTAGCACTTTGGGAGGCTGAGGCGGGCAGATCACAAGTTCAGGAGTTTGAGACCAGCCTGAGCAACATGGCAAAACACCATTTCTATTAAAAATACAAAAAATTAGCCAGATGTGGTGGTACATGCCTGTAGTCCCAGCTCTCGGGAGACTGAGGCAAGAGAACTGCTTGAATCTGGGGGGCAAAGGTTGCAGTGAGCCAAGACTGTGCCACTGCACTCCAGCCTGGGCAACAAGAGCAAGACTGTGTCTCTAAAAATAAAAATATAAAAAAGAAAATCCACTTACCATGTGCAGAACATATTTTTCTGCCTCTTGAGGTCCAGATAACTGCACACGACTTGCCATATCTTGTAATGATAGAGTTAAAAAGGTCTGAAAGTCAGAGGCAGAATTAGTCACAGGTAGGAACAACAAAGAAAGATATTTTATTAAGTGTACAGAGCAGCCGGGCGAGTGGCTCATGCCTGTAATCCCAGCACTTTGGGAGGTCAAAGTGGGTGAATCACGAGGCCAGGAGATCAAGACCATCTTGGCTAACACAGTGAAACCCCGTCTCTACTAAAAAAAAAAAAACAAAAAAAAACTAGCTGGGTGTGGTGGCGCAAGCCTGTAGTTCCAGCTACTTGGGAGGCTGAAGCAGAAGAATCGCTTGAACCCTCTTCAGGCGGAGGCTGCAGTTAGCTGAGATCGTGCCACTGCACTCCAGCCTGGGCAACAGAGTGAGACTCCATCTCAACAACAACAACAACAAAACGTGTACAGAGCTCTTCCCATCGATATACAAAATAAATTTGTGTAGATGACTTAAAACTGACAGGCTAGACGCGGTGGCTCACGCCTGTAATCCCAGCACTTTGGGAGGCCGGGGCAGGTGGATCATTTGTCAGGAGTTCCAGACTAGCCTGGCCAACATGGTGAAACTCCAGCTCTACTAAAAATACAAATACTAGCCAGGCATGGTGGCGATTCTCCTGCTTCAGCCTCCTGTAATCCCAGCTACCTGGGAGGCTGAAGCAGGAGAATCGCTTAAACTTGGGAGGTGGAGGTTGCAGTGAGCCAAAATCACACCACTGCATCCAGCCTGGGCGATAGAGTGACTCCATCTCAAAAAACAAAACAAAACAAAACAAAACAAAACACTGACGAATCCAGTGGCTTGTCATTAATTTCCTAGAGGAGTAATACAAAAGGATTAACTTTATGCATATGTAAACTGAAAAGGAATCCAAAGTATGCACATCTTTATGGAGATTTTCATCTTTTGAATTTTGTATTATAAATATATAATCTATTAAATAAAATTTAAAAAATAACACTCATTATTCAAAATTTAAAGTTTACATTTTCAAACAAACAGGGGAGTTAAATAAAAGAGGCTACACACTTGGGGTACATGAGGGAAACCAGTGTTTACCACTGCTCTCTTGGGATCTGATGAAAATGACCCCTTTCAGGAACACATTAAAAGAGTTCCTTTCTTTTTCTTTTTGAGACAGAGTTTTGCTCTTGTTGCCCAGGCTAGATTACAATGGTGTGATCTTGGCTCACTGCAACCTCTGCCTCCTGGATTCATGGGATTCCCCTGTATTCAAGAGATTCTCCTGTCTCAGCCACCCGAGTATCTGGGATTACAGGCACCTGCTAACACGTCCAGCTAACTTTTGTATTTTTCACAGAGATGGGATTTCATCATATTTATCAGGCCAGTCTTGAACTCCTGAACTCACTTTGGAATCATCCACCTCGGCTTCCAAAGTGCTGGAATTACAGGTGTGAGCCACTGTACCCAGCAAGAGCTCCTTTCTTAATGGCAGCTGGCAATATTTACAACAATGGCATTTTCAGAGCTGGGTATATTAAAACCCTCATCTTGAAAATTCCCTTTCTTTTTGAGACGGAGTCTCGCACTGTCACCTGGGTTGGAGTGTAGTGGCACGATCTTGGCTCACTGCAACCTCTGCCTCCCAGGTTCAAGCGATTCTCCTGCCTTAGCCTCCTGAGTAGCTGAAATTATAGGCACCTCCCACCACACCTGACTAATTTTTTGTATTTTTAGTAGAGATGGGGTTTCGCTATGTTGGCCAGACTGGTCTTGAACTCCTGACATCATGAACTGCCTGCGTTGGCCTCCCAAAGTGATGGGATTACAGGCATCAGCCAGCCACCCACCACACCCGGCCTTTTTTTTTTTTTTTTAAAGAGATGAAGTCTTGCTCTGTTGGCCAGGCTAGAGTGCAGAGGTGCAATCATAGTTCACAGCAGCTTAAGCGAACCTCCCGCTTCAGCCTCCCGAGTAGTTGAGACTACAGGTGTGCACCACTGTGCCCAGTTGATTTTATGTTTTTATTTTTTGCAGGAATGGGATCTTACTTAGTTGCCCAGCCTGGTTCTGAACCCCTGGTTTCAAGCTGTCCTCCTGCCTCAGCTCCCCAAAGTGCTGGAAGTACAGGGGTAAGTCACTGTGCCTGGCCCTAAATTCTTGATGAACCAATAATTTTAAAACTTACATATACTTTAGTTCAGAGAACAGTACCCAAGAAACTGAAATTACTGCTAACTTTAGGTACACAAGTAGTTTAACACAAACGAAGACTCAAAAGTCAACATTGCAGCCTGGCCAACACAGTGGGATCCCATTTCTATATAAAAGTAGGCCGGGCACAGTGGCTCACACCTGTAATCTTAGCACTTTGGGAGACTGAGGTAGGCGGATCACTTGAAGTCAGGAGTTCCAGATCAGCCTGGCCAACATGGTGAAACCCCATCTCTACTAAAAATGCAAAAAAATTAGCCGGGTGTGGTAGTGTGCACCTGTAGTCCCAGCTACTTGGGAGGTTGAGGCAGGAGAATCACTTGAACCCAGGAGGCAGAGGCTGCAGTGAGCTGAGATCACACCACCGCACTCCAGAGCCTGGGCAACAGAGCGAGACTTGATCTCAAAAAAAAAAAAAAAAAAAAAAAAAAAAAAAAAAAAAAAAAAAAAAAAGCAGGGTCAAGAATAGCACATAGTGTTCATATGACCACAATTACATATAATTGGAAGAGTCTATGCATATAACATAGAAAAGAAACAGAGAAGAGGAACCTGTAAAAAATCCACTAAAATGTTAATACAAAGTAATATTTCAGCATCGGAGGTGGCAGATTTAACCCATCCCTAGCTGCCTGCTAGCCAGCAATGTCATCACCTATTCATACAGTCTACCTATTGAGACTTACTTGGATTTTCTAGTAAGAAAAAGTGGGCTAGCATCCGGGGGCAGTGGCTCATACCTGTAATTCCAGCACTTTGGGAAGCTGAGGAGGGAGGATTACGAGGTCAGAAGATTGAGATCATCCTGGTCAACACGGTGAAACCCTGTCTCTACTAAAAATACAAAAATTAGCTGGGCATGGTGGTGCGTGCCTGTAATCCCAGCTACTTGGGAGGCCTGAGGCAGGGAGTTGGAGGTTGCAGTGAGCCGAGAACGCGCTACTGCACTCCAGCCTGGCAATAGTGCAAAACTCCGTCTCAACAACAAAAAAAGAAAAAGTGGGCTAGGAAAATCTTTGGATGTTTCCCCGTTCTTTTCATTGTAGCACTGGGACATCATGCCAAAAACGGAGCAGCCACTATCACGGATGTAATCTTCTGACTAGCTAGGTCCTTTAAAGACACGGTTCCTGCCTACCAGACCTCATGGCCGCCCTGTGAAGGTGGCGTTTTCCTCACCTTTGTTAGCCTCTGAATATTCTTCTTATAAAGAGATGACAAGCATTGCTTCACCAGTCCCATGTTGTTATCGCGAGTGAAAGTTTCACTGTGCTTATTCACCAGGTTTCGGAGTTCTGAGGGGTTGTTGGTTGAATACACTTGTGCTAACTCATGGTATGCATTGCTAAGAGGCTAAAGATGCAAAGGAGGAAAGAATTCAGATTAAAACTTCAGAAGATTCAAATGTGTATAGGAAGCAAAAACACATTTTTATACAATTTTTTAAGCAAGTACATGTCAGGTAACAACTGACTGTTACCCTACACATAATTTACCCAAAGTAAATGCCTGGTTTTTGACAGAGTCTCACACTGTCGCTTGGGTGGGGGTGCAGTGGCACAATCTCGGCTCACTGCAACCTCCACCTCCCAGGTTCAAGCGATTCTCTTGTCTCAGCCTCCTGAGTAGCTGGGACTATAAGTGCCTGTCACCATTCTCGGCTAATTTTTTGTATTTTTAGTAGAGACAGGGTTTCACTACGCTGGCCAGGTTGGTTTCGAACGCCTGACTTTGTGATCCATCTGCTTCAGCCTTCCCAAGTGTTGGGATTACAGGCGTGAGCCCCTGCGCCTGGCCAGTGTATGGTTTTTAAGACCAAGGAAAGAAAGTCCTATGGAGTAATTTATTTTCTTTCTTTCTTTTTTTTTTTTTTTTTTGAGATGGAGTTTCGCTCTTGTTACCCAGGCTGGAGTGCAATGGCGTGATCTCGGCTCACCGCAACCTCTGCCTCCTGGGTTCAGGCAATTCTCCTGCCTCGGCCTCCTGAGTAGCTGGGATTACAGGCACACGCCACCATGCCCAGCTAATTTTCGTATTTTTAGTAGAGACGGGGTTTCACCATGTTGATCAGGATGGTCTCAAGCTCTTGACCTCATGATTCACCTGCCTCGGCCTCCCACAGTGCTGGGATTACAGGCGTGAGCCACCGCGCCCGGCCGAGTAATTTATTTTCAACAAAATTTTGTAGTGCAGAACAAGTAATAACACAGCAGGTGAAAACCTACTGAATTTAGTGAAGGCACACATATCTTTATCAGTGGTCTTGTTTCTCTACTGATAAATCACATAGAGAAGAAAGGAGTCAAAACATTCATCATTCCCAACTCTCCCTCTCTCTCACACCTCATCAGATGCAATGAAACAATATGCTACTTCTGCTAACAAGAAGGAAGACAGGGGGCTGGGTGCAGTGACTCACGCCTGTAATCCCAGCACTTTGGGAGGCTGAGGCAGGAGAATCCTTTGAATTCGGGAGGCGGAGATTGCAGTGAGCCAAGATCGCACCACTGCACTCCAGCCTGGGCGAAAGAAAACTAGCAGTGGCTAGGAAGCCAGAGCTGCTTTAGGAATTTTATGCAAATTAGCCCCTATGCTAAATATTAAGAAATGGGTACAGAGGCCCACGAGAAGATGAAGTCTTGAGGGGTGCTACCAACAGGCAGAAACTTTGACTCTAGAATTTGTATTCTTTCTACCACTTATGATATCATCATAAATTACTAATTATTGTGAATGATGTCCTTGAGGCATGAAGACATTACTTTTTATAAACATTTCTTCCAAAACAGGCCAGCTCAGGGGTCACCTGGAGTTCTCCAAAATGATCTGAGTAAGGCTGCATTAATCCTGCCCTGCCCATCACTCTTCCCTGGGAGTCCAAGGACCTCCCTTAACCACCTTCCCCTCCTCCCCACCTGGGGCTAGGCAGTCAAGAGCCCTCAGACCCACTAAAGGACTCTTAGGCAAAGGACACTTGGTTATCTTCCACAATCCAGCATGAAATTCCCATTAAGAGGTTCTAACTGGCACTCTAACATTTTAAGTTTTGTACAAGGGCAATCCGGGTGAAATTATGATTATTATTTTTGGATATGGAGTCTTGCTCTGTCGCCAGGCTGGAGTGCAGTGGCACAATCTTGGTTCACTGCAACCTCCGCCTCCTGGGTTCAAGCGATTCTTCTGCCTCAGCCTCCTGAGTAGCTGGGAACACAGGTGCGTGCCACCACGCCCAGCTAATTTTTGTATTTTTAGTAGATTTTACCCTGTTGGCCAGGATGGTCTCTATCTCTTGACCTCGTGATCCGCCCGCCTCGACCTCCCAAAGTGCTGGGATTATAGGCGTGAGCCACCGTGCCCAGCCAGGGTGAAATTATTAAAAAGATTGTGACTTTCTAACCCTCCTAAATTGTTCAATTTTTCTTTTTGGGAGATGGAGTCTCACTCTGTCACCTAGGCTGGAGTGCAGTGGTGTGATCTTGGCTCACTGCAACCTCTACCTCCCTGGTTCAAGCGATTCTCCTGCCTCAGCCTCTTGAGTAGCTGGGATCACAGGTGCACACCACTATGCCTGGCTAATTTTTGCATTTTTAGTAGAGACAATTTCACCACGTTGGCTAGGCTGGTCTCAAACTCCTGACCTCAGGTGGTCAGGCTTCCCAAAATGCTTGGATTATAGTCATGAGCTACCACGCTCGGCCTAATTTTTTAATTAAAAAAAAAAATTCTTTTTAATGCTCCCTTTAGGCAGAATCAAGTTTTTTTTTTTTTTTTTTTTTTTAAGCCATGAGGATGTGCTTTTAAATTTTTTTAATAGTTAATTTCATTTTTTTTTTTTTTTATTTTTTTTTTTTTTTAAAAACAGGGTTTTCCATGTTGGTCAGGCTGGTCTTGAACTCCCGACCTCAGGTGATCCGCCCGCCTTGGCCTCCAAAGTGCTTGGATTACAGGCGTGAGCCACTGTGCCCAGCCAGTTAATTTCATTTTAAAACATGGTTCCAAAGCTAGGTCTATCAGTAAAAACTGAATCCAAAATTCAGTCAGCAGAGTTTATGGTCTTCCTGCCCCTGTATGAAACTCTAGTAAAATTTCCCAATACTTGGGCAAAGTAAGTTCAATCAGATCAGCACTGCTTCTTCTGTTTTCTGGCTAAAATGTAATAAAGAAATACAACAAAACAAAATCAAGGCCAGGCGCAATGGCACATGCCTGTAATCCTGGCACTTTGGGAGGCAGAAACAAAAGGACTGCTTGAGGTCACGAGTTCAAGACCAACCTGGCCAACATAGCCAGACTCTGTCTTGGGGGGGCGTAGGGGTGGGGTAAATCAACTGTTATAGGAGCTTAAACATCTATAGCAATAAGTACCTAGAGCACAAGTTTGAAAACGGGTTCCTGAGAAATATTCCATCCCAATCACGTGACCAGAATGTGTACGGACTAGAATGGAGTTAAGCAATTCTAACTGAAATACAGCTCCCAGCAAACATTTAATAAATTTATAGAACTGTATCAGTGTAATTTCTTTATATACTGAACATGCTCACATAAGAAGTCAATTTTATTTAAAAAACTTACCTTAATGAATCTACCCACAATTTGAGATGTATATTTTGGGAGCTGTTGTACTTTGCCAAGTAATATCAAAGACACTAAAATGTACTTTTTATATGATTCCAACATGATATGACTGACCGCCATGGCAGGAGTAGTTATAGCCTAGGCAAGAGAAGAATGCTTACTGTAAAGAGAACATGCCACAGTAGCAAATAGCAATCAATCACATGTATCACCTTAATTATAAATCAATAATACTTTTTAAATGTCCCATTATTTTAAAAACAGCCTTATTGACATATATATTTTATTTTTATGTATTTAATTTTTAGAGCCAGGGTCTCACTCTGTCATCCAGGCTGGAATGCAGTAATATAATTATGGCTTACTGTACCGTCAAACTCCTGGGGTTCAAGCGATCTTCCTGCCTCAGCCTCCTGAGTACCTGGGATTATATGTGTGGGCTACCATGCTTGAATAATTTTAAAATATTTTGTAGAGGTGGGGGTCTCACTGTGTTGCTCAGGCTGGTCTCGAACTTGTAAGCTCAAGGAATCCTCCCACTTCAGAATCCCAAAGTGCTGGGATTCCTGGCGTGAGCCACCATGCCTGGCCTGAGATATAATTCACATGATATAAAATTTACTCTTGGGCCTGGTGCAGCGGCTCATGACTGTAATCCCAGCACTTTGGGAGGCCGAGGCGGGTGGATCACTTGAGGCCAGAAGTTAAAGACCAGCCTGGTCAACATGGTAAAACCTGTCTCTACCAAAAACAGAATAATTGGCCCGGTGTAGTGGCTCATGCCTATAATCCCAGTACTTTGGGAGGCCAAGGTGGGCAGATCATGAGGTTAGGAGATGGAGACCATCTTGGCCAATATGGTGAAACCCCGTCTCTACTAAAAATACAAAAATTAGCTGGGTGTGGTGATGCATGCCTGTAATCCCAGGTACTCAGGAGGCTGAGGCAGGAGAATCGCTTGAACCAGGGAGTCAGAGGCTGCAGTGAGCCAAGATGGCGCCAGTGAACTCCAGCCTGGTGACAGACCAAGTCTCTGTCTCAAAAAAAAAAAA